GCAGCTGATCCACCACTGGGGTCTACCAGATGGGTCATAAGCACTTCATCGAACCGAAGTTCATCAGTGTCTCGCCACCTGTCGTTCTCTGTAGCTGCAGATCGGGTATTTTTTAAATAAGGAAGGGAAGTACACCGATCTATCGCCTTCACGAAGCAAACAAGCTTCGTATGTGTGATAGGGATCACGAACAGGCAACCACCTACCAGGCCGAAGTCGGTCAAGCTATGATAGCAGAGGGGAGACGACCGTCTGGGGGTAGACTGATAGAGTACTGTTTCGGGCTTGTTTGCTTTCATTCAGCCAATCATAACCCCGACCACCAGCCGGGACCATAAACACAAACTAACGCCAACATCTAAATTCTCCCAATATGTCCACGTTGTCACCGAAAATCCCCCGCGCGGATCGGCCTCACCTGACATTTACAGACCCAATGCACCAACGCCTTGACAAATGCAGCTGCTGTCCTCTCAAATGCAACTGCTCCAGCCCAACAGCGTCCACAACGACGACCACCCTCACCAACAATGATCACCATCCCGGAGTCCCACCACCATCGACCACCATCATCTTCATCATACCCGTCGCAACCTCCGCGGCGACGACGACGACGACCATCATCTCTCGTCATCGGTCTGAACACTGCCACCGGCCTGTCGACCACCGCCCTCACCATCACCACTCCCGCCTCCAGCAATGAGGACTTGACACCAACCTGTCCTCGGTGCGATCACACATCCATCTCACGCGCCGGCCTGGTCGGTCCATCGTGAAACCATCGCACTGCGACCGCGCACCAGTGCCAGGACTCCTCATACACATTCCCCGCATCCGACCTTTTTGGTCACATTGTCCACGCACATTCATTCTCGGCATGGGCCTCTTCGGCCGTGCCATTATTTGTAACAGCGGAGGTCAGCGCTCGTTGCACGTCCTCAAACCCTTTCCATCAACACCCCAATCAACTATTCATTCACAAACACAACCAACACCAGCAGCACCACAGCGACAACCGACCCAGCACCCCCCAACCCATCCCGCCCTCATTGTCACCGCAGGTCCACCTCACGAATCAGCCTGACCGGTCCCTCGCGAATTAATCGCACATCGACCGGCACACCAGTTCTGAGATCCCCCCCTTCCCCCAACACACACATTCGCCGCATCCACCTTCACTGCGTACGCACATTCAATCACCTCCTGGCCCTATTCGGCCGCATGCCCCTCCATGAGAACCCGCGGTACATCGCCTCAGGCATGACCGCATTATTGCATGTTCCTCCATCAACTCATATGCCATACATGAACATCTCCAACATCCCAACATCACCGGCACTGCCCAAGAAGGTCGGAAGTGTGTTTTTTTCTCCATGTGGCTCCTTTGCTGCAAGTGAGATCAGAGCAGTCTATCCTCCCCCCCCCTCGCCCCCTGTGTGAAATCCTGGTGTGTGTTTTGAGGGTCAGGTCATGTGTGTTGCATGCACAGACGAGCTGTTATCAGCACTGTCAGCTACCTTTCCCAATCTCGGCATCAGTTGGTTGACAGACTAGGAGAGTCCACTAATGCAGGGAATAGGGCAGACCGAGTGAGGTAAACTCTCGGAGTATAACTCCTCACTGCAAAAATCTGATGCTCTTGAATCTAAAAGAGCCGTAGCATAGCAGGCTGTCAACCGATGGGGGATAACTCAAAACGCGCAGTTTGCTTGTTGGCGTGGAGTAGCGGACTGGTGGACTGACAGTCAAGCTGCAATGCCTCCTGGGGCCTCTACGGCACCCGCCAGTCGGTAGGACCCGGACCGGTGTGCTGGCACTCGCTTAGGTGCGGATACGCGCTACACCTGCAACTCGCGCCCTCTTCTGCCTCCGCCCGCCTTGGCCCTGTCATGACACCGGGTCTAAGTGACGAATAAGGAGAGAGTGCATTCGGTACTGCGCAAGTCCACCACCACTATAACCTCACTCGCACGCAAGTCATCGCCTCGGCCCACACCCGTAGGTGGAGCACGCGACAAATACCGTCGGGGACGAAGGTTGAACTACCGGTCGCACTCCAGGTAAGACGTTGTGGTTTGGTGCGATAATCTGGCAGTCCCGCTCATGATTATACAGCAACAGCTAGTCGCTAATTGAAAAGCTTCACCAACAAGCTAATGCGTTTAGACTGTTGTTTCCGGAAAAGTGGGTCGTCCGCACTGTGTCGCACAGTTAAGACCACGAACAGCAGTTCATCCGGCATTCTTGAGAGCACACCGTGTTGGAGATAGACATAGCGTCAGAACATCATTCATTTTAGGAGTTAGGAAAACCTCGCATACCAAAGCCACACGAGGCGAACTTTTAACGATTAGACCTAGATGTAGTCATCCCCCGAAACTAATCCCCAGGGTGCACACCATTCCCGAAGTCGGCAACCCCCGATACCACTCCAACGTCATTGTTGAATGCTGTTCAGAATGTCTGCGAGGACGGTACCAACAGAATCAGTACCCAAGAATGTCCTCGCCCACCAGCGCGCTTCTTTCTAAATTGTGCATTTCCTACCGACCATCGAATCGTTTAAGCATTGAACTCTGCGCAATTCTGATTAAATTTGCACCATATTGATAGAAAAAGACGCATTTAAGTGCCGTATAGTTACCACGTTTTTTTCCGCGACTTTATGGCATACACTGTCAACAAGTTAATAATTGAGGCTAGCATACTTTTAGATGTTACAATTTTAGTTGGAGATAGTCGAAGGTTGGTTGAGCCACTGTAAACAAACTTCCAAGTCCGGTAACCAAAAGCAGATATCAATCCAATGAAGGTAAGTAGTCACCATTTAACCATAAATTTCGGGTAGGTGGAGTTTACTTGTATTTCAATCTTGTCCCTTAGGGCACGAACTCTTAAAGCAAACTGACCCACGGTTCCTCACTCATCTTTTTAAATAACGAAACTGTTGATGCGTTGAGACGGAGTGCGAGGATTCATGGATCTAAAGTGAGAGTTTTACCCGTAATCAGTTCTAGTGCCCAGGGCGGACTCAGCTGTTTTGTTTTTAAGAATGCAATTGAAATTGCACGGGTATTTCAAAACCACGGTTGAGACTGAATTCGTCATAACTTACATCTTGAGCTAGACTTTCGAGTGCTGCCTGGTAATCGCCCTTTGCGGCGAATAGAAGAGCCAGTTTGCGCTGAAGTTGGGAGCGAATAGCATTTGAGCACTGATGTTGGGTCTTAAGCATTGTCCACTGGGCCTGTGCAAGGTAGGCTTCCGCTTGATCAAGACGGTTCAAACCTGAAGGACATATATTCTTTCAATTTAGTTTTTTCGAAAACATTGATATTTTGGAAGAACCCTTTCTTCAGAGTTACGTTGTAAGGTGTAAATACATACATGTATACATAAATACATGTAGATTCCTAGTGCTGCAGGCTACCACTCGCCCACTGATACTTTATTAACAAGAATGGCCACATATATTTCCATTATTTTCTGAGAGTGTCAATTTCGGCTTACCCGGAGGTCCTTCCGAAAATGCGAAGAATCGTTGTCTCTTACAAGCGTTCCGCACGACAGAAAACACAATGATTCAGTTGGCCAAAACATATCTTACATGGGCTACTTGCACACTGCTCACTGTCTTGGTAATTAATGTGTATATGATATTACTTTCTGAACTAATAGTTTTGCTATGCATGACAAACTGTTCAATTATGTGTCGGTCGCCTACGAGAGACTTAGTATAAGCAAGTAGAGGGTCATTCTCGATGACAACCAAACAATTAATGTGTCAGAAATTCGTCCGTCTAGTATCTATAATAGAAATTTATGGTTTAAGGTTCGATTGCTTTTGGGCTCAGGTTTCGCCTACGCGATGCAAAGCTGAGAGGATAAACTTCTGAATGGGATAAAAATCGAAATATGGAGACTGTAACGTAGTACCTACTGAAAGCCTATAAACCTGAAACGTAAATTAAGGATGTCATAGGACACCCGAAATTTTATGTTGTTATGTGCTTAGTACGCTGAAAGACGAAGGCCATCTCTGAAAATCACCAGTTTTCAGGGATTGTAAATCTATGAGAACTGGTTTTTGTCCAATTGGCTACATTATTCTTTAGAAGCAATCCCCGACACGTTTGTCCGCCATTACCGGTAATTTTGTGGAGGTCGCTTTCGTTACCACATTCATATTTTCAATTTTATTGATGTTGTGGACGCAAGAAAACGGTTGTTTTAAAGTGGCATTGGATGAATAAGTTATTACACTTCAGAAGGATACGTATAAGCAAGTGAAGGCTTGTTAAACTTTAATTAAGTTCTTTGGTTGGCATTGCTCGCTAGATATTTCGTGAACACCTTGCCTTTTTAGTCGCAGCTTTAAGTCAGTTCAGGCGTAACACTTGTGAAAAAGATGAAATTAAGGATTGAAGATCTAGCTAGAACATTATAGTGTTTTTTGCTACCCTAATGTTTCCATTTTACCTAAACTCTTAAGTGATTGTAGATTGTAACCACATTTTATTGTGATTTAAATGTGTCACTAATCGACCAGTTACTGTGGTATTTACATTGTGCCCTTACCTATGCTGGACTCCGCTAAAATAAGATAAGGCGTTACTAATTCCACGCTGGCAAGACCATATGCGTCCACGGTAAACTTCAGGCACTGTAAAGCTGCCGGAACTGCTTCCTCCGGCCTTCCTTCAAAAAGCAGCTTTTGGCCAATCATTTGCGTGAGCTCCACCATTTGTATCTAAAATTAGAAGGACAGCTTCAGTGTACGATTTTTTATGCTACTATCGAAAGCTGATTAATTAGCAGCGTCTACTTGCAGAATTTCGTATGCCTGAATAAATTAAAAGGCAATATTTCAGATGCAATCAACGTGATGGCATTTGTTGCCATTTTAATGCTTGAAAAATAACCGACGTCATATGGGATAAACGCATGCGGTAGCGTGTATAAGAAAAACAAGTCCCTTTCTGCGACAAAAACATTCATTCTTGCCTGCAGTTGTAGAGTCTCCTCCTTCTTCTTGCGTCTTTCATCCTCAGAAGCTATGAATGAAATGGGCTTCCGTAAATTAGCCAAGGTCGAGCAGATTCTTTCGTGGATGCTGATCCAGTCTATTTTTTGATGGTCGAGACCGCTGCACAAATAAAGAGAGGAACTATCATTCTTGCATGTGATCGACTGGAAGAAACTTTTAGTTGACAAATTACTTGTCCAAAATGACAGCTTATTTTTTCGGGAGTATTAGGGCATCACACCAAAGCTTGCTACTGATAGACACTATTATCAACGACAAGAAGGCCTCTATGATTGCATACAGAGTATTGGTTTTTGGTTATCATCCACTATAGTAACGTCTTTGTAGCTTTTTGTGGTAGGCAGCTTAAAGCACCGGACTGCGTGCTTCCAGTCGACGACAATTCATATCATCATTATTTTTATTGTTATCAATTTGACTGGCTACATTTCCTGAGATGATACCAATTTACTCGCTCAAAGAATTCAACAAATGAAAAGATAAGAGACTATGACGCGTATAAGTGATCATATATCATGCGTACGAGTAAATCTCGGAAGTCCACAAGGGATAGCTTTGCAAATGTTTTGCAGCAGAACAGCGCTGTATGTAATCATAAGAAACAATTTGGTTCTGACGCCCAGAAAGTTAACTATTTCGATATATTGTCTTCAATTCATAAACAGTGCAGATTACCATTGCCGGGATCAGTTATATGGACCCGGCCTTTTATTCGGACCTCAACGTGTG